ATCCCATCTTCCTACCTTCATACCATTCATATTATATTCACCATTATAAGTGATTTATTTACCAGAACAAAACCCTTCATCCAATTCGACCCACTTTCCAATCTTTTTCTCATCTCCTTCTTAATCATATGATCCACCTCCACTATATATAGTTATACTTGTGTAATATTTACATCTATTGATATTCTTTCTCATTATATTTACAATACATAATATCCCATCTACCAACCTTTTTTTTGTTCTTTTTATATCCAACCTAAATAATATTGTTAAACTTTTCAAATTCTTTATAATTTCTAGAAGACTCGTTCTCATTATCATCAAAAATTACATAACCACTAACAATACTAAATTTGAAATATCACCATAGTATTTATTGATATTTTAAATTTATGATATCCCATCTATCAACCTTCATACCATTCATATTATATTCACCATTATAAATGATTTATTTATCAGAACAAAATGCTTCATCCAATTCTACCCACTTTCTAATTTTTTTTTAATTTCCTTCTTAATCATATGATCCACCTCCACTATATATAGTTATACTTATATAATATTTACATTTATTAATATTCTATCTCATTATATTTATAATATATAATATCCCATCTACCGACCTTCATACCATTCATATTATACTCTCCATTATAAGTGACCTTTTTTGAAGTGGTATTGCAATCAGTAAACCCTTCATAAATTTCTATCCACTTTCCCATCTTATTCTAATTTCCTTCTTTATCATATGATCCGCCTCCACTAGATATAATTATACCTATATATTATTTACATTTATTTATATTCCTTCTCATTATATTAACAATACATAATATCCCATCTACCTACCTTCATACCATTCAAATTATATTCACCATCATAAGTAATTTAAGAATAATATTCAAACTTTTCATACAATTCTTCCCAATTTCCGATCTTTTTCTAATTTCCTTCCTAATCATATAATCCGCCTCCACTAGATTTAATTATACTTATATATTATTTACATTTATTTATATTCTATCTCATTATATTTGCAATACATAATATCCCATCTACCGACCTTCATACCATTCATATTATACTCTCCATTATAAGTGACCTTTTTTGAAGTGGTATTGCAATCAGTAAACCCTTCATAAATTTCTATCCACTTTCCCATCTTATTCTAATTTCCTTCTTTATCATATGATCCGCCTCCACTAGATATAATTATACTTATATATTATTTACATTTATTTATATTCCTTCTCATTATATTAACAATACATAATATCCCATCTACCTACCTTCATACCATTCAAATTATATTCACCATCATAAGTAACTTAAGAATAATATTCAAACTTTTCATACAATTCTTCCCACTTACCAATCTTTTTCTAATTTCCTTCCTAATTATCCTTTATTTTTTGAATATAAATAAATTATTTTATATTATATGATCGCTTAATCAGATCCAATTAATGTAAATAGCTTTCTATATAGAAAAATCAATATCATTGATTCCCAAAACAACTTTGCTTAATAAATAACTAATTATATATATTATCAAATTTATTCCATCTTCAAATACAATTTCAACTTACCAAACCTTTTTAAGTTTATATTCCTCCTTAACCTTTATAGCTCAACCCGTAATTTTAATTATTAAGATAATTAGGCTTTTATTTTCAACGAGAAATTTCGCAAACATAAACTATAAAAAAATCCACTTAAGTATTAATTAGCAAAAACAAAAAATAATTAAATGCCTTGAAAGATATTTTATTTATAAATTTAAAGAAAAATATTTTTCTTTGCTATTTTGTTAATTGCTAATTGAACCAATCAATAATTTCAGTTAAGGGGAAGAAAAAATAAAATTGTAAGATATAAATCATCAAAATACCGAATTAGAATTTGTTAATTATCATCATTTAAATAAGGATATAAAGCTTTTTAATTTATAAGCAACAATTAAACAAGTTTGGTATCAAAAGGATACATAGCTTATTTTTTGAATAAATTACAGTTAAGGAGATATTTATAAAAGTTGAAAATTATAAAAGAAGTTACATTTGATATTTGTTAATGAAAGTAATTAAACTGATATTATGTCTTATTTAATATTAATAATTATTCTTGATAAAATAACTATGTCATCTAAAATTATATTTTGATAGAATGAATGCGAAATTAATACTGTGATTGAAAACTAGAGCTAAACTTATTTTATATCTAGTTTTTAGTAATATTTATGTCACTGCAGTTTATAGCTATTTATAGAATTATAAAAATATAAGATATTACAGCTATTATAAATTTTCAATATTCACATTATATATTAAAAGAGGTTTAATTTGGAGGATTAAAAAGTAAGGGACTGTGTCTCTAAAATTAATCCTTTGTCTTAAATACTAAAATTTTTATAAATTCAAAATCAAAGATAAATTGTACTTAATTTAAAGTCAAATATCTATTTCACAAATTATAAACAAAATAATAGAAGAACAAAACAATTTTTAAATTTATATTATTTATAAACTTTCAATTATCATATTTCTTTTCTCCTCTTTTTTCATTATACAGTAAATCAAATGATACCCAAATACCAACTTTTTGACCTAAAATATTATATTCACCATGATAAGTGACTTATTTTTCAATATAAAACCACTCTTCCAATTCTACCCACTTTCCAATTTTTTTTTAATTACCTTTTTAATCATATGATCCACCTCCTCTATATATAGTTATACTTATATAATATTTACATTTATTTAAATTCCTTCTCATTATTTGTACAATACATAATATCCCATCTACCTATCTTCATACCATTCCTATTATATTCACCGTTAAAAGTGAGTTATTTATCATTATAAAAGCCTTCAATTAAATCTACCCACTTTCCAATCTTTTTCTAATTTCCTTCCTAATCATATAATCCGCCTCCACTAGATATAATTATACTTATATAATATTTACATTTATTTATATTCTATCTCATTATATTTGCAATACATAATATCCCATCTACCTAACTTTATACCATTCATATTATATTCTCCATTATAAATGACTTATTTGAAATGATAAAACCCTTCATCTAATTCTACCCACTTTCGAATCTATTTCTGATTTCCTTCTTAATCAAAAAATCCACCTCCACT